TTTGCTAGACCCAGGTTCTTGCTGTGGAAGTTGAGTGGGTGATTTCAGACCAATCACAGACTTTTAGCCTAACCTACCCCACAGGGTTGTTGTGCAGATATAAAGGGGGAGCGGAGAATGATGTAAGCTGCTTTGGTCTCTGTGGAGAAAGACTGTACTTTTCCTCCTGGGGAACCATTGCTGCCAATCTCCAGGTGAGGGCTGAAGATCAGTCGGAATTAAAACTGCTCTCCAGATGGTAGAGATCAGGGGCAGATAATGATAAGGATGGTTGGCTGGGAAGTAGATAGGGTTGCCAACTCCAGGTTGGGAAATTCCTGGATATCTGAGGGGTGGAGCCTGAAGAAGGTGGGGTTTGAGGAGGGGTGGGATCTCAGACAGGTACAGTGCCATAGACTCTACCCTTCAAACCAACCATTTCCTCCTGGAGAACCATTGTTGCCGATCTCCAGGTGAAGTCTGGAGATCACTCAGAATTACAACTGCTCTTCAGATGGCAGAGATCAGTTCCCCTGGAGAAAACTGTAAGCTCTGTGTCATTATACTCTGCTGAAGTTGCCACAGCAAATTGATGCTGAGTGCCCAAGGCTGGGGCACTCTCCCAGAGCCTCTTTCTAGTGCTCATTGTATTTATTTCCACACCAGGCCTTATTTCTAGTATATGCATAACCATAATACAGCAAAAACATTGTTTTCTAGCACTGAATTATCCAGAACAAACAACTGGCATCAACAGGGAAATTCTCCCCTCCATACCCCTGTATCTTTGGATGTGCGTGCACCTCATTCCCACCTTTCTAGCCAACCACCGTGATGCATCCGGCTTTTGTTGAGCTTCTGACAGCTGGTGCTGCCAAATGATGTCACTCTTAAGTGCCTCCTTCCCTCCTTAGGCTGCTTCAAAAAATCGAGCACTAGCTCTGTTGGAGGGCTCCCAGACAGCTTGTCAGTTGTCTGTCTGCTATGTTGGACAACTCTGTGACTTGGGGGGGAGGGGAAGGGTGTTCCCAATGTGATAGATTTTAGCTGCTCTTAGATACCTGTGGGTAGAGGGTGGAACAGAGCAACAAGCTTGTGTACATTTAATTGGCTGGCAACCCCCATTCTTCATGAGTGCCAGATAACAAAGCTTTTACACTACTTTTTAGGATGGAAAAAATTGTATAGATTTGTTTTTTATTTAATTATAAATTCAATTTATAGCCCCCCCCGCAACGCGGGCTCAGGGCAGCTCACAAGTAGGCATAAGCCAACACATAAAACAAGTTAAAACCATATAAAATCATTACTACAATGTTACAACAAATTAAGTGCTCTAGATGTTCCAGACTGATCTTCCATAAAGATGACGTCACAAAGATGGTACATCCAATCAGTGCTATCAGTTCCATGTGACACTGTCGTTCTCTCTTCCCAGGGCCAGATGATACTGGTGGTAACATAATGATGGTACAGTAGTGGCGGCTCCTACTTGAAAGCCTGGTGGAAGAGCTCCGTCTTGCAGGCCCTGCGGAACTGCACAAGGTCCCGCAGGGCCCGGATCTCCTCCGGGAGCTCATTCCACCAGGTAGGAGCCACCACCAAAAAGGCTCTGGCCTCCTTGCGACCTGGTATAGCCAGGAGGTGTTGCGTCCCAGACCGTAGTGCTCGCGGGGGAATATATGGGGAAAGGCGGTCCCTTAGGTATGCTGAACCCTGGCCTTTCTTTATTGCTTGAGAGATCTGTACTGAGCAAAGTTTTAAAGGGGGAAATTAAGACTTCCAGCTAATCAGCTAGAAGTCAGCTTCTTATAATGAAATATGCTGCTTCCCAGACTTGGTGAGATGCAGCAAATTTAAGGTTAGTGGTGATCAGAAGCCCAGCTGATTTTCCTTCTCTTCTCCCCATCCCAAACTGTTGCCTTGGGATGCAAAGAAAAGGAGAGAAATCTACCTTTTCTCATTTCCCATTTGCAAAGCAGAAATTTAAAGCATTACATCTGCCTCTGCCTGGCTTGGAGGGGAGAGAAGAGAAAGGAGCTATTTCCCCCCTCTTTGCAATGCAAAAATCAAAAGCATTGTTTCTGTCATCATCTAGTTTGTAAAGGAAAGAAGAACTCCCTTTTCCAAATTCACTGTTCAGCTATTTTTCTGAGTGGGTGGGGTAGATAAGCCTGTGCCCCACTGTTCCCCTATCAGCTGTGAGTCAGCTTCAGACCAATAGGTAGCTGCAACCTTGTTTGGCAGCTGAGTTGCTTCATACAATCTGAAAATATCGCTGATAGGCTCACAGGCTGATCATGAATGTCAAACAAGGTAAAAGTTTGTCTACCAAACAGGTTCACTAAGACGTTTGTTGCATCCCTACTGTATACCTAATGGTCACAGGTCACACAACTGGGAATACCCTTCACAAAAGTGTAAAGCCCCCACAGTGGGCAGCTGACAAAAGTTCTACTGCTGTCTACTCGCTCTTGCCACTGTCTCCACCTGGAGCAACTATCAGGGACCAAGGCACTAAAGACTTAAACAAAGAGGAGACTGGTCCTGGTTACCACCTTACAATGAAGCACCAGAGTCACCTGTAAGAACATATTTTCATGACCAGGAGGAACCTAAAGAGACAGGTCTCACTCTACAGGAAATAGATCAGCCTTCCTCCTCAGACTTTGAACTTCCCACCTCAGAGACCACCACAGTTCCTGAGGACCCTCCCTAACAGAGCTTACAAGTCCTGGCTCCGGTCACACGGGCTGGATATCGTGGGGGGGAGGCGTGGCTAATTGCCCCGGGGAAGTTTGATCCGTAATTACGCGATCAGATGCGCCGGTGGCACACCACGGGTCCTTCCCTTGGCGCCGGCGGGTAAACGAGGGACCGGAGGGGAATGCCACGCACTGACGCGATCACACCACCGGCATCTGGAGGCAGCCTGTAGCAAACGTTTACTAGTACCTTGGAGGTACTAGTTTTTTTAAGGCGCATCATCGGCGGTAAGCCATGGGTGTGCTCCAATTCCCAGATGTTGGGGTGTGATTGCACCCGGATAATCCGCCCACCATCCATGCCTCTACCGCAGAAACTTTGCCGTGTGACCGGGGCCCCTACAAGGCAAAGGAACATCCCAGCCACTACTTCGCCACTGTAACTAGGCATGGAGTCTTTAAGAGTTGGTAGCCTGTTCCTAGAGAGGTGCAGTTTGCAACTCTACCTCCTTGCAGGAGTACTTAATGCCTCTACCCATATTCAGATTTTGCTGGAACAACGTCTCAGCTCTTGCTCTGTTGAATCTCCTGCCAGGATCTGGGGACCTCAGTCATGAGCAAGAAACTAACACACCATCCCTTTTCCCCAAGCATCTTTAAACATGCAAGAGTTTGGAAAGCCCTCCTGGGCCTGCATGTCTGTATTTAGATACCTGGGGAAGGCAAGCAGGATTGGCTATTTGGGTGTGAGCAAATGAGTAAGAGGCAATGAGAGTGGTGCCAGTGAAGGCCACCACCCTTCCTACAATCTACTTCCTGAGGCCACTGCTTCACCTTGCCTCCTTACAGAGCCAGCCCTGATCTCCTTCCTCCTCAAAGGCTATATCTGGCATGTCTATTTCAAATATAGAATTACCTCATAAATGAACAGTGTTTCACCCATACTTTACAGCATTATTTACCAACATGCTTTGAGTTTGAATAAAGGGAACATGCTAGTTAAATATTTATTGAAAACGATAAGTACTATCATCAGGGCTGTAGCTCCTGGGTATACCAGGGCGCTAGCCTGGAGCGGGTGTGAAGAGGGCGCCTGGGAGTGATCTCGTCGATGGCTGCGCAGAGTCGGCAATGCCAGTCTTCCCCAAGCTCATCCAATGAACTGCCAGGGGGCCTCGGGTCTCGTAGAGCCATCTGAGGCCGTATTGGGTCCATTTGGCTCCTCAGGCAAGCTAAAATCTGCTCGCCACCTAAACAGGGTTGGGGTGGAACATTCAGACAGGCGTTCAGTGCATAGTGGTCCGACCATGGTACCGCTTCCGCAGTAATCTGATCCACTATCAACCCAGTTGCGAAGATCAAATTGAGCATGTGACTGGCCCGATCCATGGGGGCCGATATGAATGAGAGAGTCCTAGTGCCGCCGTGGACGACAAAAGGTCTGTAGCCCAGCTGGAAGCCGCGTCATCGGCATGGACATTGAAATCACCCATGACTACCAGCCTAGGGTGCTTCAACGCCCAGCCTGATATGGCCTCCAGCAGGGACGACAGACTACTGGCCAGTGTGTTAGACGGTCGGTACACCAGCCAGATCGCCAAACTCTCCTCAGCCTCCAGCATCAGGCCGACACACTCCAAGCCCGTGATCTCCACAGGTGGGAGTGCCCTGAAGGAGTAAGCCTCCCGAATGAAGATAGCCACTCCTCCCCCCGCCCCCTTGTCCATGATTGGTGGTGGACCAAAAACCCCAGTGGGGCAAGCTGGGAGAGAGCCACAGTCTCCTCATCCCGCACCCAGGTCTCGGTCATGCATGCCAGGTCAGCCCGTTGTTCCAGCACAAAGTCCCGAAGGACTGTGGTCTTATTGTTAATAGACCTGGTGTTGCACAACACGAATGACGGCGGGGGTTATCAATCTGGGCCCCACTGCCAACAACCCTTGGGATGGGCCACAGGCTGGAAGGGCACCGAGCCATTTTATTTCTCAGTGTCCTTCCCTTACCATATTGCCTGGGCCCACCGTTATACTTCGGGTATATGTGTGCATGTGTGTGTGTATCATCTATCTATCTATCTATCTATCTATCTATCTATCTATCTATCTATCTATCTATCTATCTATCTATCATCTATCCACGCACACTCATTAAGTTTATGTTTTCAAATGTTATTCCCAGAACCTTAAGAGGATATGTCTACTGATAGGATTCAGAGTCCATAAATAAATCCATAACCTGCCGCCTACTATACTGTCATTAATTTTGTAATTCCTTGGAATGCTTACTGTTATAAATGTGCTTCACTTCTTTCCACAGCTCCACAAAATGTCCACCCACCAACAGCTATCTCATTCCCCACATCTTTACTATTGAGTTGGAGTCCACCAAAAAGACCAAATGGAAAAATAACACAATATTGTTTATATATGGATGCTCAACTAATTTATACTGGAAATGACACCAAACATATTGTCAAGGGTAAGTAACTTTTGAAGACCCACATATAATTATGAGCTATATAATACAATAAATACATTCAACTAATATTTGGGATTTCAGATATTTCTACATCTAAGATATAGGGACAGGATGTGTCCCTATATTATGTTCCTACATGATATAGTGTGTGTATGTGTGTTAAGCACCATCAAGTCATTTCCAACTCATGGCGACCCTGTGAATTAATGTTCTCTGAAACGTCCCGTTGTTAATAGCCGTGATCAGGTTTTGCAAACTGAGGGCTGTGGCTTCCTTTATTGAGTCAATCCATCTCATGTTGAGTCTTCCTCTTTTCCTGCTGCCTACAACATGATATAGTAGGAATGTGTATTTAGAAAGTAACAAGTCCTGCTTGAAGACCTTCTCAGCTTGCTGTTCCTAAACTCTGGAAGTCTCTCTCCCATAAGAAGTATACCCCCCCCCCCTTTACAGGTCTTCCAATAGCAACTGAAAATTTTTAATTCCAAAAGTTCTGTCAGTAAGAATTTTATCTCTGGTCTTAGCAAGTCTTAAATATTTTTTTTTATCATAATATTGTCCTGTTTGTTTTGATGTTGTTTTTGTGATCTTGTTGTAGTTTGTATTTAGCCACCTTGATGAAAGTTTTTATACAAAGGTAGCATAGAAATATGATGCAACAATTAAATAATCAGCATTGGAGTTTAGCACAAGCCACTTCAACAAACTTGGGTGTAGTAACTAATCTGAATGTACTTCTCTGTCTTCTATACCTGAAATGAGTAGGTTACTTCTGGTAGTTTTTCTTGCAGCAGGGCAAAATCTGCAGGTGTGTACTGTTTGCATTTACCCATGGGACAGTGAGAAATGCAAGGGTGGAGTTAACTTGGTAGATTTTTACTGTTACTTGGGCTTTTAGATAATGCTTGACAGGCATTCTGTCCAGCTAGAGTCTATGTTTGTGTCACATAGCATCATTCCTGAATAGCATTTCTATGTACATTTCTCCCAGTGTTGGTTCTTTGGCTTTTAGGAAGGCAGTCCATGCATTTATGTGTAAAGTTAGGCGAGCATGGGGGTACATTTTATACAACAAATGAAGCATGATAGTAAAAGGAGGTTTGTTGTGTTATTTTGTTGTGCTCTGTTGTTTGAAGTATTTAATTTTGTCCAAGCAAGATCACTGTCTCCTTGATGGACACCAGGAAGTCAGTTACGTTAGGCACAGGCTGGTAGAAAAGATGCTGAAATGAATTAATCTAGTGCTGAGTTAGGGTTGCCAGGTCCCCCCTGGCCACTGGTGGGGAATGGGGGGGGGTAGGGTTGCCAGATCCAAGCTGGGAAACTCCTAGACATTTGGGGATGGATCCTGGGGAGGATAGGGACCTTAATGGGGTACAGTGCTATAGAGTTCACTATCCAAAGCATCCATTCTCTCCAGGGGAACTGATCTCTGTAGTCTAGAGAGAAGCTGTAATTCGAGGGGATCCCCAGGCCCCACTTGGAGGCTGGCATCCCTATCTGGTTTTATGCTTGTGTTCTTGCTTTGGTATACAGGGTGGAAATATATTTCCCATTGTAAACAGTGTAAATGTAATTAGAAAACAACAATACCCCCAAAATGTGATGGGACAATATGGAAGAATGCAATATATTGTTTAATGAACAAAATGCATGGGATCTGAAAATAAAATTTCTGTATGCTTCCCTATGCCACAGTACCATGCTATCTATTGGTACAAATATGATGCTGCAATAGTATGGTTTGCTTTCACAAGTCAGGAATATTTTCCCTGCAGCTTCCATTTCACCACTGTAGCCTGAAACAAATGACTGGATTGTTAGTTGCATTAACATCATCCTATTTTTCATGTAAATCTCTGAAACATGAAATTAACTCATTGGCTAAAACCCTAGCTGAAACTGGCTAAAAACTCTGGCTTATCTAAATTGTGACTCAAGCTGTAACTCATTTTCTGCTGATATAAGGCCTTAAAATGTGTGGCATTTCTGCATCTTGAATTGGTACAGAAAACATCTTACAATACATGCAGTTAAAATTTCTTGTCTTGCACATCCCAGAAGCTACTAGTGTGGTGGGTCATTTCTGACACTGAAAAATGAGTCCAGTTAGAGAACCCCCTGAAGGCTGTTGATGTATACTATAATAAATAGTGCACACTTTAAGTCAAACTTTTTCATTCTGTATTCAAAGGTAATGGATTTTCAGTAACCATAGTAACCTTGGTGTATTTCTGGATAAATACATGAGGTATATACATTTTGGTTTTATTTTTGAATATAAACTACCACATTATGTATTGCTAATAATATGAAAAATAGGATATAGGTTTGCATAATGACAGTTTAAACTCATATGCATTTTTCTTCTGCAAAATAAATAAATATTTATCAAATATATAGGCACAATTAATAGCCCCCCTCCAGGTTTTTTCTGTATTCTTGTAGTGTCATTTATCTTTCTCTCACTCACTCACTCACTCTCTCTCTTTTTACAAGATCTCCATCTTTTTTTCCCCTTTACTGTCCCAAACCACTAATTTAAGTATTTGGAAGCCAGACCAGTTATAATTCTAATCTTATTAAAGCATTATTAAATTATCTGCTGTGGAGTTTCTCTGTAATGCTCATGTAGAAGAAGAAGCCACAGCATGATATCATTTACATATTTATAATTTTTATAGTGCTTTACCATAAAACCGTGCCCAAAGTGCTTTGGAATGAAAACAAACAATTAAAAAATCATAAAAATGTGAAAAGAGATGAAAATTACACATTAATTTGCCGTAATAAAAAGGCAACAGGGTACAAAAATTAGCAATGGAACACTAACAAAGCTAAAGATTATATTTTGAGAATATTCAGCCGGAATGGATTTTTGTGAAGTGCTAGCAAAAATATACCAGTGAAAAGCCAAAGAGTTACATTAGGTCTGAAGGTGCACAGAGCGATTTTTTTAAAAGGGTAGGACTATGGTTGCCAGAGTGAGTCTGACAGGTGGTGAGAGCCTACCTGGGGGGAGCCTTGACTGTGATGTTGAAATGTCACTGGTGATGCAGTGTGTCACTTCTGGTGTGACCCGGAACTGCTATAGCATGCTAGAATGTCCCCTGATATGATAATGCCACTTCTGGGTCATGCCAGAAGTGACATCATGGTGTTGCTAGTGATGCCAATCGCCCCCTTCCGCTTCTTCCCTCAGTATTCTCTTCTAACCTGGCTGAGCAGCAGTGTGTAGAACCAGCAGGTTAGGACTACTGTTCAAGTAATAAAAGGTCAATGTTTCCTTGGGCATGTAGAACTAGTTTTGTGTATGTGGACCATTCAGCACTGACCTGGGATCTGTCCTTGTTTTTGCGACATACTATACAGTGCACAGTTACACACCCTGCTAAGACCATTGATGTCAATGGGCTTAGAAGATTGTAGCTCTTCTTAGAATGGAACTGTTAGCTGATTTCTCATATGATTACTGAATATCATGACTTGATTTGCCGCTGATATATGTTTCAGAATTTCTGGGGGTTGCTGTAAAATACATCATGGCTTTCCTGAATCTGCTTGTTGTATCTTTTCATTAACATGCATACTTAAAAGTGAGCCAGACTATTTTTGTTCGTGCAAACCAAACACAGATGTGTGAAACAGCTGGATTCTTTACTTGAACTAAAAAAAATAAATCATAATTTTGAATAAACAAATATGCTGAAATTTGAACAGACAGGAATAGTTACCATGGAACATAGGAAAATAGAAATACAAAAATGGAGTTCTTCAAATGGGTTTATAATCATTCCTGCAATCCTGTAAAAATTGCATGGCATATATATCCATGAAGACAACATGGTTTACCCATAGGGTTGTCAGGTCCATACTTTCTGCCGGCCCGGGGACCAAATATCCTGTCTGGGATCTTCTGTGTGCTGGGATCGCAGCAACGTGCCCACCGCAGTGACGTCATCTGGAAGTGATGTCATCATGCTAGGCACATTGCCAGGGGGACACTCTAGCATTCATCCAGAAACTCTATAATTGTGTTGGGCATGTTGTCACGATCCCGGCACTTTGGGACGGCCAGGGACGGCCCGAGGTGTTTCTGCGCCCTAGGCAGGGTGCAGATGCCAACCTCCCGGTGGGGCCTAGAGATCTCCCTTTTGCTGCCTCCTCCCTGCCGTCACCGTGCGCGGGTCCCCTCCCTTGGGCCTGGGTAGCTGGGTTTGGGGGGGAGGCTGCGTGCAAGCCACTGCACCCCCTGCTTCTTCCCCGGAGCCGGAGGAAGGGAGAGCGGGAGGCGCTCAGGCGGGCCTGAGGGCGGCGGCGGTGTTCGATGCGGGTCCCCTCCCCTCCCTGGGCCTGGACAGATGGGTTTAAGGGGGAGGCTGCGCGCAAGCCACTGCGCCCCCTGCTTCTTCCCCGGAGCTGGAGGAAGGGAGGGCGGGAGGCGCTCGGGTGGGCCTGAGGGTGGCGGCAGTGTTCGGCGTGGGTCCCCTCCCCTCCATGGGCCTGGACAGCTGGGTTTGGGGGGAGGCTGCGCGCAAGCCACTGCGCCCCCTGCTTCTTCCCCGGAGCTGGAGGAAGGGAGGGCGGGAGGCGCTCGGGTGGGCCTGAGGGTGGCGGCAGTGTTCGGCGTGGGTCCCCTCCCCTCCATGGGCCTGGACAGCTGGGTTTGGGGGGAGGCTGCGCGCAAGCCACTGCGCCCCCTGCTTCTTCCCCGGAGCCGGAGGAAGGGAGGGAGGTGCCTCGAGAGGCACGCCGTTGGGGTGCCCTGAGTCGAGTGCGGCTCTCTAAGTGGCGCGGAGGCGTCCGCCCTCTGTCCTCCAGCCGCGCGGGGAGGGAAGCGCTCCTGCCCTGTCCTCCGCGCCTTCGGCCACTCTCCCGGGAACTGCTTGCTTGGCCAGGGCCAGGGTCAGGCGGCTGCAGCCACGCCTCTCCCGATGGCTGGAGGACTGTACCTGCTGGGACCAGCAAGGGGCTCCCTCCCTTGAACGAGACTCGAGCAG